TCCAAGAACTTGAGCCGCCATCTGCTGCTGGCTCAATAGCAGGATGATACTATGTACTGTGTTCTATTATAACTAGCATTTTGCCTGTTACTTGGGATTTTATTTAGATTGAATTGAAATAGAGACTTTATATTGTATAATCCAATTGTTTTCTCTAAAATATATCACTTAGTGCTCTTTACCTTCATTATTTTGCTTTCTTACTGTCTGGTTACCCTGTTATAGGTTATAGTATAATTGCCATAGATACACACCCAAGAATGAAATGAAAAAAATTTTTTTTTGTTAGGTTGAAATCAAGTCTGCCAGTGGGTATTTCCTTTCCTTAGTTGCTTTTGTCTTAATTCCTTAGATAGATCAAGTAATTGAGTTGTCTATTCATTATTATCAATATTTTGTATTGTTATGCAGTATCTCTCTTTAGTTATTTTTCTTTTCTTTTTTCAAATTTAATTTTATAATACAATTCATGATATTGTGTGAATTTATTGTTTAGTGTTTGAAAAGCACATGATAGAGCCAGAAGTTTCTGCAGTGTTCTTAGTGATGAATAGTAACATAAACAAAATATCATAATTTTTGTAGGCTTTCGTAAATTTGCTGAACTAAACATGTTTCTACTCCGTGCTTATTTTCACTGCTATTAATTGTAGGTATTACTTCAGGTTGTACTGGTTTATTGTTATCTCAACCTACGTAGTCACTTTATACTTGGCATGACTATTTGAGTATAACTGAGTAGAATCAGTAATATCTATCTTTGTCAAGGGAACACTTGATTCTTCTGCTGTTTTCTTTGTACAGTACGTAGTTCATTCAGTTGTAGTATATCCCATAGGGCTGTGCAACCATAAACAGAATGTTTTCATCATCCTTGACTCTTCTAGGACTTAACAGTCACAATTTTTTTTTTTAATCTGTAGATTTGTCTGTTCTGCACATTTTATATAAATTGAGTCATAGAATATATGGCTTGACATTTTTGGCTTCTTAGATTTTCAGAGTTAATTCATGTGTTAGCATGTATCAGCACTTCATTCTTTTTCTTGATAACTAGTCCTCCGTTGTGTAGATTTACCACATTTTATCCCATCATCAGTTGATGATCATGATCATGTAGGTTATTTCTGCTGTTTTGATGTCATCAACAATTCTGTTTTGAACATTTGTGTAAACGTTTCTGTGTGAGTATATGTTTTCTGTTTTCTTGGGCATATGCTTAGGCGATATGGGAAAAGCTAGGTCATATAGTAAATACATCTTTTTTGATTTTTTTGAGAAACTGCAAAATTGTTTTCCATAGAATGTATACCATTTTGCATTCCCAAAAGCAACACATCCTCAATTATGATTGTTCTCTTTTTTATTATAATTATCAATGGATGTGAAATGCTATTGTGTGATTTTGATACACATTTCACTAATAGCTGAAAGATATTTAAAATTTTCGTGTGCTTATTGGCCATTTGTCTTCTTTGGGAAAAATGGCTATTTAGATATGTTGTGTACATGAGGCTGGGGGAGGAGAGGGAAGAGGAAGGAAAGGGAGAAAGAGAGAGAGAGAGACAGAGATGAAATATGAGACTATGAGAGAAGAGAGAATGTGTAGATGAATGAGTTTTCTGTTCAATGATTCACTCCCCATGTGGCCGCAGCAAGCAGTGCTGGGCCAGGCTAAATCCAGGGGTCTAGGAACTCTATTGAGTCTCATGCATGTGTGGCAGTGGCTTAACTACATAGGCTATCTTCTGCTTTTCCAGATATATTACTAGGGAAGCTGAATTTGAAATAGAGCTACCAGGACTTGAACTGGCAGTGTGATACCAGTTTTGTAAGTGGTAGCTTAATTTGCCTGTTTATTTGGTTTGCCTTTAAGATACACACACACACACACACACACACACACACACACACACACACATTTGAAAACTAGAGTTACACAGTGAGAAGAAGGCCAGAGAGATATCCATCTTCCATCTGCTGATTGACTCTCCCAAGTGGCTGCAGTGGTGGGCCAAGCCAATCCAAAGCTAGGAGTTTCATCTGGATGTTGGTGGTAGGGTTCCAAGCACTTGGGTCATCTCCCATTGCTTTTTCCCAGGCTAGTAGTAGGTAGTTGGATTGAAGTGGGGCAGCTGGGATACAAACTGGTGCCAATATGGGATGCCGGTGTCACAGGCAGTGCCATTATGGTACACCACAGTGTCAGTTCCTGCTTTTATTATAAATGCATTTTAGTCAGTCCTCTGTATCCACAGATCATAGATCCAAATAGTCAACCGACAGCAGATTAAAAATAGTATAGGAAATTTGTGTCTGTATTGAGCCTGTATGAATATTTTTCTTATTGGCATCTGTTATCCACTGGTTTAATTTCCCAAGTGTTTGCAATGTCCTAGGCTGAAGAACAAAGTTACAGCCAGAAACCAGGAACTAATTCCAGATTTCCCACATGAATGGTAGAAACTCAATCATTTGAGCTATCACCATTGCCTCTCAGGGTCCTCATTAACAGGAAGCTGATCTTAGGACCTGGAGGTAGGGCTGAAAACATATACTTTGATGTAGACTGTGGGTGTCCTTACAGCATCTTAACTGTGAAGCCACATGCTTGTCCTGTGAGTTTTTAAAGGATCACTGTTGGTTCTTTTTAAAGAGTTTGGGAATTCACCAGTATAGCCAATCTGACACTCTACTCAGTATTTTTAAAAAAAGATTTATTTATTTTTATTTGAAAGTCAGAGAAGGAGAGACAGAGAAGGATATTCCATCCACTGATTCAATCCCCAAATGGCTGCAACTGCTGGAGCTGAGCCAATCAGAAGCCAGGAGCCAGGAGCCAGGAGCCAGGAGTCAGGAACTTCCTCCGGATCTTTCACATGGGTGCAGGGTCTCAAGGCTTTGGGCCATCCTCTGTTACTTTCCCAGGACACAGGAAGTAAGCTGGAAGGGCAGTGGTGTCCATATGGAATCCTGGTACATGCAAGGCTAAGACTTGGGCCCTCAGTAATTTTAAGGTATTTGACAGACACAGTGGGGAACAGAGTCATTCTGTTAACTGATAAATTTCTTATAAATGGAATATAGGTTTGAAGGGCGATCTGTGATTATAGGTAGGAAAGCTTTACTCTTTCAAATCTCCCTGCTTCTAAACTGCTTCTTTCCTCTTCTTTTTGCACTAATTAAAAAAAAAGCATTTGATAGTCAGTCTAAAGGGAAGATGGTTATTGAAGATTAAAAAGTTCCCATAAGTTTTCTGAATCAACATGATGCTCTCAATTTCAAACAGTTAATGCTGTGATTAATTTTAATGTTCTTGCTAGTGACAAAGGTTAAGAGACAGGAGTAATGAATATAAATATGATAGCAAGAGCCTCATTGAAGAATTTGCTAGAGCAGTACTAGTGATGTTAAATTCTTAAGTGCTTGGACTGGCACTGTGATGTACTGGATTAAACTTCTGTCTGAAGTTCTGGTATTCCATATTGTTGCTGTTTCAAAACCTGGCAGTTCTACCCCCTTAAGACCCTGGGAAAACAATAGAGGATGACTCAAGTGCTTGGGACTGTGCACCCATGTGGGAGACCTGTAAGAGGCTCCAGGCTCCTGGTTTCTGCCTGGCTCAGTCCCAGCAGTTGTGACCATCTGGGGAGTGAACCAACAGATGGAGGATATCTTTCTCTCTGTCTCTGAGCCTTTCAAAAAATTTAAAAAAATCAGTGGGTATGTGATTTATTAGTCAACTTAGCAATTATATTTGTTAATTTGTGGATATCTGCCAGGATTTGAGGAAGATTTTGGACCCTGTTAGTCCTGTTGCTCCCCTCCAGAAAAGGAATCTATCCAGTGAATCCTAGGGTAGAAGAGGATGCTAGTGGGTATCTGATATATCTTCATATTTTTCAAATATGTAAATCATTAACAGAACCTTATGTCTGTGTCTTGATTTTAAGTTTGTGTTCAGAGTGTACTTTTCCATTGGAAATTTAAAATACTTACAGAAAATTGGTATTGCTGCAAGTATTTTCAAATACAAATAATGCAAGAGAATGTAAGCTGCCAATAAGTAGATTTGATGTCTTCAGCAGAGATCAGATGTAACTGTCTGTGTCTATACAAATGTAAATAGATTCATGCTGCATCTTTCTTTTTCTCTTGTACTTTGTTTTCTTTACAACTGAAATGCTTGGTAGGCAGTGTCGCCTTGTTTCATCCTTTACATTGAAATGTACATTTTAGAATCAGTTTATTGATTATTATAAAAATCTGTTGAACTTTTGGATAGAATTGCATAGTTAATTATCAGTTTGTGGAAGATCTATATTTTTATGATATTGAGTCTTCAGTTTGTTAATATGTATAGCTTCCTTTATTAGGCTCTTTATGTCTGCTGTTTAATAGTTTGTGAAATTAGATTTATTCCTAGCTGGTTGGCATTTTTGATGTCATAAAGTGATATATTTTTGTTGTCATTTTTATTATAAAATCTTTTTTCCTTATTTACTTTTGAGATGCCATTTTTAATTTATATGATAGTAAAAAGTTTATTGCTCCATTTAAATGAATAAGAAGTAAAAATATAATTTTGGAGGAATACAGACAATAAGCAAATTGAAATATTTACATTATATTGGTGATATTTTTGTGAATTTAATTTTGCAACTGTTTGTCTCCAGACTTACTTTCATCTTTTACTATTGACCTTTTACTATTGACTTTGCTGTCATGCTAAGTGACAGAGACTGTACTGAAATGTTGTCCTGTATGTATGCAGATGCCACTTAGAATTATAATTTTTGTCATAATACACTTCATTGTGCAGATCTCCATATTATTACCTTTCAAAATACAGATTAACTAAATTGAAGGAGGATTATACAATAAGAAAAGGAATTAGTGAGAAAGGGAGAGAATATGTTTGGGGAAATTTAGTGCTTAGTTCAGTGGCTCTGACTCAGTATTTAAAAATTCCGATTAATGTATTTTCTTTACTCTTGTAGTGATATGCAGCTTTCGAGGATCTGTCCCTCAAGGATTGGTCTTAGAAATAGGAGAGACGGTTCAGATTCTTGAAAAATGTGAAGGTAAGTAGGAACTATTAAAACATATAAATAGTGATCATTTCTGGCAGTATTTTATATATATTTATTTTAGTAGATTGGAAGCCATCATTCTGACTCCATAATTAATCAAATTGCAAAATACTGTGATAAAATCCTTAATGATTTGTGTTCAGTATCAAAGTATGAATGAGCTTTTTTTTTTGGCTCTAATCTAATAGCAGTAATTAGACAATTAATTGTTGGCTGTCAGAACATGATTTCCTCATAGTGTGTCAAATGATTATTTTTCATTTCCTACAAATAGATAATTTTCTACCCGTGCCCAGCTGCATTTGGGTAGCATTGAATTGTAATTAGTTTATTTGTGTGTTTCTGTGTGTTTGGCTGGACTTTTTTAGCTATCATCAAAACAAAGTAGTAGGTCTCCTTGGATTTTGGGTGTTTGGGTGAGAATTTAGTGAAAGATCCAAGAAGAATAAGTGCTTTTTGAACAACTGTTGTAAATGGACTATTTAGCTGAAGATGCCTGGTGAAGTTAAGTGCTTCCAAGAAACCTCAACAAGTAAAAAGAATCCAGATAGAAAAATCAATAATGAGGGAATAAAGTTACCAGATAAAGAAGTTAGAAAAACAATAAAAAGAAATATTACACAAAGCATCTGTCTTCTGAAGGCCAAACAAAACAGAAATGGGTGAAAATAAGCTTCAGTAAGAGAGAAACTTGGCAGCCTCTTTTTATTATTTGCAAGCCACAATGGAATCAGTAGTAACAGTAATTTTGAGTAATAATATTAAAGACAAAGAACAAATAACTGTCTGAGGAAATGGTTGCTATAACTGTATGAAACTCTCAGTGTCCCTTCCAGAAAGCTGAAAGATTTAACGAGTATGCCAAATCTACTGAAAATGGAAAGCGCACAGGAAAAAGTTAATGAAGATGATCTGACTTGATGACAGAAAGAAATAGATAAAATAGTAGAGACTACAAAGTTAGCATCTGGGAATATTCAGAGGTTAAAGAACAAAATTCAGTTTCTAGCATGTGAGGTAGAATAAAAAGAGCAGAATATGCTTCAAGTGGGTTAGTACTGGCATACTGTCTATTCTGCAACTTCCTCAGAACAATCTTTGGGCACCCAAACTTCAGAAAGAAATTTTGATATTATTTCCAAGCTAGCATGCTGTCTTGGATGATTTGGATGTTTTTTATAATTCATCCCAGGTGAAAAACATGTTAATGTTCCTCAAAGAAGCATATAATAAACTAGATGCTTCTTAAATAAGAGTTTCAAAAATATTATTTCATATTAATTTTATGCTTTTGTATTTGTTAACATATGGTCATATTGCAAGAGCTACAGCTGAACATTTCCTAATATGTACTTTAAAATTAGCCTCTAGGAGCAAGTGGCCTAGTGGTAAAGACCATTGTGTCCCTATTGCAGTGCCTATGTTTAGCTACCAACTCCAGTTCCTGACTCCAGATTCCTGGAGTTCTTATTCCAGCTTCCCAAGTGCAGAGTTAGGGAGCACCCATGATAGCTGAAGTAACTGGGTTCCTGTCACCCACATGGGAGCCTGGATTGTGTTCTTGACCCCAGGGCTTGGCCTATAAACCCTCCCCATATGGTTGTGGCCATTTGGGGATTAAATCAATCAATCTATCTTTGTCTCAAATAAATAACATTTTAAAAATAATTGAAAAATTAAAATTAACCTTTGATCTAGTTCAGCTGCTGTTAGGATAGATATGGGCCTAAGTACAATCTACCATGACCCAGGAATTATATTAGTTTGGGAGTTTAGTTTTCTGAAAAAAGAGTTCTATTGAATATTTTATATTTTCTTAATACAGAGATATTAATCAGTACCCTTTTGTGATAAAAGATAATTTTTTATAACAGAAAACTAAGATAATTTTTTAAAATCTGAAAACGATATCTACTGAAAAAAGAACAACAAACACCATATTCAAGTGTGAAATATTTCAGAATTTCCTGATGAGATCCAAAAGTAATGTAAGAGTATTTGCTATTACTGTGTTTTGAACATTATATTGAAAGTACAAATGAATACAGTAAGGTAAGAAAGACAAAATCTAGATAGATAAAAATATTTACTAATTTTCTAAATTGAAAGATTACTGTTGTCATGTAGTCAGTTCTCCTCAAATTGATTTAAGAGCATTGTAATCCGGATAAAAAGCCAACCTTTATTTTGTTACGGAAATTGAATACCTGATTCTGATAGTTTAAATGCAAATGCAAAGGAATTCGATGAGCAAGACAGTTTTAGGAAGATAATCTAGCTGGGGGATTTAGATGACCACATATTAAGATTTTAGAAATGAAGATATTATGGTTGGAGGAGACAGACAAATAAAACAGAATAGAGGAGCTGGAAGCAGTCCTTGGAGATCCACATCACGAGGCCAGTTCTAATTTATTTATGTCTTTCCAAAAGTTTCTCTGCCACCCACTGCAGCTCATACCAGCTAGCCAATTTTCTCACTGCCTGCACTTTGTGTGTTTCTATGGCAGTCAGCTCTTTTCCACAGTCTGAATCTTAATCCTGAAGGCTAAAGTGCATGGTTTTGAGTCTTAGTTCCTTGGGTTTGCAGCTTTCAGATGTTTGCACTGACAGGCAGTAGGTGATGCCTCAAAGTAGTTGGGTCCCTGTACTTACTTGGGAGACTCAGATTAAGTTATGAGTTCATGATCTAAACATGACTGTTGTGGGCATTTGAAGAATGAACCAGCAGATGAAATATCTTTCTATGTCTGTTTGTCTCTTTGACTTTCAAATTAAGTAAGCAAGTAAGCAAATAATTTTAAAAAGATTTATATTTTTGAAAGGTAGATTTATAGAGTGAGGGAGAGACATATCATCTGCTGGCTCACCTCCCAGATGGCTGTGTTCATTGGGGCTAGGTGAGGCTGAAGATAGGAGTTTGGAACTCCATATGTGTCTCCTTTTAGGTGCAGGATCCTGCAGATTTGGGCAAATCATCTGCTGCTTTTCCTGATGTATTAGTAAGTAGATAGATCAGAAGTAGGGCACCTAGAACTGAAACCAGTACCCATATATCATACAGGCATTACAGGCAGTGACTTAATCTAACATTGCCTCAATATTTTTTTAAAAGAGATATATATATATATTTTTTTGGAAAGTAAGATTTATAGAGAGAAGGAGAGACAGAGAGAGAGAACTTTCATTTGTTGAATCACTCCCCAAGTGGCTACAATGGCTGGAGTTGAGTTGATCTGAAGCCAGGATCCAGGAGCTTCTTCTGGATCTCCCATGTAGCTGCAGGGTCCTAAAGCTTTAGGCCATCTTCTGCTGCTTTCCCAGGCCACAAAGGGAGCTGGATGGGAAATGGGGTAGCCGGGATACGAATCAGTGCCCATGTAGGATCCTGCCACATGCAAGGCAAGGACTTAAGCCAGTAGTAGGATTCTGTGCTGGGCCCCCCAAAAATATTTTAAAAAGTAGAGTGGATTTAGTGTTGACAGATAATAAATTGGTAATTGACATAAATGCATGTATCCTTATCAAATTTTATTCTTCTTGAGCTTTACTTTAATTCTTCAGGAGAGTTACTTTAATTTTATGTATATGGGATTGTGATATAAAATACAGTTCTGGTCCATGATAAAAAAATATTCAGAAGTCATTCACCTGGAGAAATGTCTACAAATGTTATAAATGAAACACCTGTAGCAATTTGTAGTAACAAATTTAAAAAAAAACATTAAATTTTTTTTGTTTAAAGTTTTACTTTTAATGTTGTTTACATAGTTGAGAGGTATGCATGCCCATGTGAGCATCTGATTAAGGTGAGGAGGGTTAGGCATGGAGGAAAATGGGTGGGACACATATTTCAATCTTTTTTTTCTCCTGTGTCCTCAGGGTAGGAGGGGGAGAGGGCCACTCCTTGCTATCAAACTACATCAGCAACCAGGGATGGGCATGATTTGATGACACCCCAGAGACTCCTGATGTGGGGAAGAATGTTCAGAGGGTGGGTTTGTTTTTGTTGTTGTTGTTTTTTTTTTCTTTTGTGTTTGTGTGTGTGTGTGTGTGTGTGTTTCAATGTATATTTTTTTGCTTTTTATTTATATTTAAATTTTTTTATTTTCCATGATAGAGTTCTGTAGGCTCAGATATTTCCCTTCCCATTCTTCCCATTCTCCTTCCACCATTTTCCCTGTGAGTGCTGGACTCCCACAGAGGTAAGCTCACAAGTCTACAAAATCTGCCCCCAGATCCAGTTCTCTCATGTTCTAGTGGGTGCTGCAGCCCCACAACATTCATGGAGGGTGCTGTGGCCTAATGTAGAGAGGCATGTTCCCAACCCCAGATTTTACATGCACCAGCGGGTGGTGGACAATGCTAGTTAACCCTGTCCAGGTCTGTGTGGGTGGGTGTCTTGGCCCGACCCAGACATACACCCCTGCTTCCCCTTCTAAACCACTCCATTTCAGCTTCCTTGCCTTCCTGAAAGCGTGGTGGCCCAGTCCATGGAAAGCTCCATAAGTCATTCCTCCCTCGTCAAGATCCCCTCAGATGCTCACACTCCAATGTCTCTAAACCCTGCTCTCTTCCCCAGATAATCTGCAGCCTCTGCTCCTGGGGGCCAGAATTATGTGTCCTGGCTTGGAGCTCCCTTCCTTCATGACATATCCTAAAAAAATAAATTTGGCATTAACCAGGCCCAGAGTGCCCACCAGCTATTGCCTGCTTTTCTTCTAGGAGTTTAACACTTGCCTAGGTAAAGGGCAACCTAGGCAGTTGCCAATAGCTGGGGATCTAAAAGTTTCATGAGAAAAAGGATCATGGAAAGTAAATTTTTCTGAGCTCTTCAGTGCCTTTGCACTCACTTGGGGAGTGAATCATCAGACGGAAGATCTTCCTCTCTGTCTCTCCTCTCTGTATATCTGCCTTTTCAATAAATCAATCAATCAATAAATAAATCTTTAAAAAGCTGAGGAATCTAGACATTTAAAAAAATTATTTGG